GCAGTATTTTGTTGATTTCGGGCAAGCATCCGATGGAGCTTGCAAGGGGCGACTATGAAAAGCTATAAATCGTACCGAACATCAGTCACACCGCTCAACCTAACATAAGCAAGTTAAGCAGAAGTCATTTCACTCCTGTAATCGGTGACGAATCGCGCTGGCCGCTACAAGTTCGTCGTTCCTCATGGTTTCCGGCCATTTTCTTCCAAGCGCGGCCATTCCCTGTTCCTAATGTAGTCTTTGCACCGTCGTTTTGGGGAACCACGCGACGTAGACATTGCCCGCGCTTCTGCCAGTTGGCGATCATCATCGACCTTCTTCCGTCGGTAAGCCAGGCTACGTGTCGGGCCCACCTCAGCTTCTCATTTCTGCTTTAGACGATCTTTCACTCCGGTCAGCCGTCTGATCACTGTGTTGCGGATGATTCTTCTTGTGGCTCTCTCTCTCTCAGTGACAGATAGCTGGCGCTCTTGGTCTTTAGTGAGTGATCACGTTTCACAGCCATATAGCGTTGCCACAGGACTGTAAAATTGAGGTGTTGGGTACGGGTTTCTTTCCTGATGTTGCCGATGAGGATGTGACAGGTCTTCTTTCTTTATTTGTTGGACTTGCACCCGCGAGTTAGCAAATAGAAAATTTAATCAGTGGTTAAGGTTCATGACCGCAGTCACGCTTACAAAAAGCAGGTTCAGCATAATGATATTGAATTAGACTAGAATGCATAATCTTGTACTTATGGCTACTCACTATAGCGAGACCGAAAGCGATTCTTCTACATCACTCCTTTTATGTGAGATCAATGCCGGAAAAATCCGTTGAATATATTAAAGAATCAGCATCATTTATGGAATCCGCAAGAGGCGAGCCATGCCGATAAACAGTTAGTTTGATTCTTGTACCTGAATAACTCGTGGCCCGTGTAAATTTGAGACGGGTTGTTTAGTCTGTATAGTGTCAGACTCAGAACCGAGAGATTTCGGGTTCGAGCCTCGCTCGGGTCACTCGTCTTTCTTCCTTCAGAGGTTGACAGAATACCACTCTGTGGGAATGTAGCGGGGGACTACACACTGCTTACCGCATGGCTGTAGACTCTGCCTTTAAAATAAAGCTCTCTTGACTGTTGACATGCAAGTGGAAATCGGCGCCCTACTAATAGATCCATGAAAGTGTAAGGGCCACCGACATTCCAGCGGTTACATACTTTACGCTCCTTCGTTTTCTTCATAAATGTAACCGCAATTGGAGTCGGCAACAGATTTGCTGCCACAGTAGCACGCATACTCTTGTTAGCTAGGCTTGCACTGTGGTAACAGTACTGCTAAATGAGCGTCGTCTTCGTCACAGAACGAAAGCTGCTTATCATCTATTCGTTCTTATCCACAGAAAGGAAAACAAACGAATAGCGTTCGTGTCTTCGACTAACTAACCAACCCTTACTATGAACCGAATGGCTGGCTGTCATTGCAGTTCCCCATGGATCCAGTGGAAAGCGGATGAAAGGCACTCCGGGACGTCGTGAACTTGTTGCAACCGATGATCAGTCAAGTGAGTCTCAGTCCGAAAACTAATTGATGACCTTTGCGTTCGATGAGGTTTACGTTTTGGGAAGTTTTTACGCAAAAACGCATGAAACCGTATGCTGCAGATGCGCGAAGCAAGTGAGACGTCGACTTGCAGATACTTGGCTGGTGAAGCCTTTCACTCATGAAATCATCGTCACGATGACACTCACTCTCTTGTCTACTCGCTTTTGTACTGCAGTTGGTGGTTCGGAGCAAGGACCGTGCTTGTCAGCATAACGACGGTGTGGACTTTCGGACGCTGACGTGGCTTCGCTACATTTTCATGGCGTACGCTTACCTAGATAGGGAGTATGACCATCGCCGACGACGGCGGGTAGCATTTTCGCACCCGTCCTTGGCCTTGATTTTTCGTTGATACGCTTCCTTCCCGTCATTTCGTTGAACGTGAAACTCTCTCCCGGGGTGGGTGAGAGTCTGCATGAACACGACAGGTTTGCAATGTCCCTGGTCGACCGACAATCAGTCAACCAGCCAGCCGGTCAGGTGCACATGCACATGGATGGCCGCCATAGCATATTCGTTCCATAGTGTCCTTTA